TTAAAATCATTGTTTGATGCTAAGAAAGATCCAATCAAAACATGGAAAAATATAGCAGAACACCCGTGCCTTCAGAGACAGGCCTAAAAACTGCTTTTTGGCTTTCCAGCCACTACATTCTGCTTCCTGACCCCAAAAATGATACCCCTAAAGTCCCAAATGACTGATACCCATACGGAGGACCAGCTGAAAGGTTCTCCACACTGCAACCAAATATTCAAACACTTCCAACAAGGAGCAGACACAACAAAGCCATCGACAAATAGTTAACTTAAAATTAACAAATAGTTTTCATTTTTTGAAGTTATTAAGTAAATAGTAGTCTGATTTTTACAAACTGACGTACATTTTTAAGCATATGTAGTTGAAGTTTCTTGAATGCAGCCTTGTTTAATAACAGCTAAATTAAAGAGGTCTTCCCACGTGGAAAGGTTCCTCTTTTCATCTCGGCCCGGTTTGGTCCTGACATACCCTCGGGGCTATCAGCTATCCTTCATGAGACACAGTAATACATCAAGTCTGATTTTATGGTCTGATCATGGAGTGATATTTGTTCTGATGAGAATCTATTCCACAGCAGTTCTGTAAGGACCCCATCTCTCTTGGATGAAGAACAAAAGAGAATATGTTTTTCATGTTTATATTTGTCTGTTTGTTTTTATACAAAGATGTGTCCCGGGTCCACAGGAAAGAACAGCTCTTGGACCTATACACAGCACATTTGCATTTCTGTGTGTGCCTGAGACACAGGGCTACGGCCGCAGACCAGCAGCTGAACACTCTATCTGTAGCTCAGATTCCCATATTGAATGTGAAATATTTCCTATTTTCAGAGCATATTAATAAACTGGAAGAACCTCTCTCTGATCAGCATTACAGTAATATGTCCAGAGTTTCCAGAAAACAGTGAAACTAAAATTTAAATGTGTCAGCCTTTTAATTTAAAAAAAAAATCCTGTTTCATAAAAACCATTAACTGAGAATCCTCCTTATATAAGAGTCCAGATCTACATAATCAAAGAGATTGGATCATTATAATTTGGAAACAGCTATGCCTCCTTCCTGACCTCCCTGGCCATGCTGGTCTGGAGTTTAAAGCTATTTGAAAACATTTTTACCAATGCTGAATGATAAGCATATGTCTACACGCTCTGTTTGAATGCATCTATCACAAAGCCAATTCTGAGACCTAACACAATGTGGAATACTGCTGATGGGATGCTGTACTGTCTGCTTCTGTTAGGAATGATCCACGTGCAAACATACAGCAACCTAAGTGTCATCAGGGCTGGCAAGAGATCTTTTTACTTTAGGACAAAGTCTTATTCTATTACCATGATGTCGAGTGCCATGGAGTCATAGCTCACAAAAACCTCAAACTCCTGGGCTCAAGTGACCTTCTTGCCTCAGCAGCTGGGACTACAAGCACCTGCCATAACAATCAGCTAATTTTTCTATTTTTAGTAGAGATGAAGTCATTCTCTTGCTCAGGCTGGTCTCTAGCACCTGAGTTCCAGCAATCTACCTGTCTCAGCCTCCCAGAGTGCTAGGATTACAGGCGTGAGCCACCATGCCTGGCCCTGTAAGAGATGATTTGGATCTTTGCAAAATGCTTTCCCAAGGTTATCCTTCGCCCGGAGTCTGGCATGTCCAGGTTTCCACCTGGAGTAGATACATGTCTTACTGAGATATAATTTACATTATACCTACACAATAAACTACACTCACTTTGCCACTCATATTTGGGAGAGATGCATTTTTATAAGTTTACTATATTTATGTTTTACTGTTTAGAAGATATTTTCATTGGCTAATACTTTAAAAGAAAATAAAGGGAACTAACAGCAGAGGAGGCTTCTGTAGGAACGATCTCCCGGCTTTAACAAGCGGCCACAGCCCCTCGAGAGAGAACCCCTGAGATAACACTGAAGAAAAACTTAAAAAGGTAACACCAGGGTGTCATGAACCTGCAGTTAGTATCAGTATTTCTATGAATCCTGATTGCCAATCTTTTAATATCCACATAATGAAAAACAGGCCAGAAAATACCGAACGGAAGCAAAACAGAACAAAAGCAGACACTTTATTAAAGATCAGCTAAGTGATATTTTGGATTTTCAGGTAGTTTTTGTAGACACTCTTTTTTTAATTTGAAGGCAAACACAGACCACTGTTAGCAATTTGTTTCAGGTGATGTTTTTGTCTCCTTTTTGTTGATAATTCTAAAGAACATGCACTGCTTTTGTATGAAGTAGAAAAGAATATGACTTCTAATGATAATTATTTTTAAACAGATAGATGAGTCATCATCTGGCCTCCAACTCTGGCACAGGTGCACTCCCATAGCCCCGGGGGCATGCTTCTGTTATCAGACTAATCCACTTCTGCTTCTGTCAAGACCTGTCCCTCCTCTGTGAGCCTCTCAGGGTGAAGGCGCTTTGCCACCCCAGAATGAGGTGTAACACTTGGCACTTAAGACGTAACTTTGGGGAAAAGTACCCTAATAAACAGCCTTGTCTTCCATGGAGACACCAGCCTGTGATGAGCTGGACATTCCAATCCGATGTCTCCTTGCAGTGTTAAGATTACTTGTTTTCTTTGTGACAAAGAACTCAGCTAACTAGATATACTTTGACTTGTGGCATTATTAGATTTTTACTGAGCGTGACGATCCTTGCTACCTATTGAAATTCAATTTCGTTCACTGGAGCAGGTTAAAGTTGACAGGAATCATACATCTGGCCAGGTGCATTAGCACATGCCTATAAGCCTATCATTCTGGGAGCCCAAGGCGGGTGGATTGCTTGAGCTCCAGAGTTGGAGACCAGCCTGAGCGAAAAAGCAAGACCCCCATCTCTACTAAAAATAAAAAGACTGGCTC